GAAGAAGAAGAAGAAGAAGAAGAAGAAGAAGAAGAAGAAGAAGAAGACGCTTGAAGTCCCACTAATGACATCACAAATGGTATTGACTAGTGACTCACATCAAAGGCTTCTCCAAGCGACTTCCTGGTGATCCAACAATCTCCCCCAGAGTACAGAATGTTTGACCAAGGAAATCCTGATGAAAGAAATAGACATGAATGTTATGAAACTTCTCCTCCTTACAGGGTTTCCTCCTCTTTTTAAAGCTCCTAAAGATTGAAGGCAAGACATTATTAAAAACTTAACTTCTGCTCTGGTTAATTTATAGAGGACAGTCCTTCAGTCAACTCATGTAGCTCCTTTCTACAGTTTTTGCAACAAAAGTTTGGGACTAAGTGGCTAGGAATTTATGAATCTGGTCATAGTACATGCTTTAACATGTACTGAATTATAAACATTGGTGAATTTTAAAAAATCAGGCTGGTGGAAAGACAGTAGCATCAGGATAATTGCATGGAACAAGAACATCATGTATCAGGCTCAGTGCCTAGTCAGTGTCTGTCCAGGTGTAACAGGTGCTTCAGCCTTTAGCATCCTTAATACTGTTCTGCAGATCCAGAATGCAGCAGAATTGAGATCATTTTGATTGTCATATTCTCATAAATTAAATCTGCCAGTAATGTTAGTAAAACAGAAGATTAAAAAAATAGGCTGCTATTTTTTTCTCCAGCATAACTTGACTATATCTGTTTCCTCAAAGCATGCCAATTTATTATAATTTATGTTGTCACCCCATAAGCCTACACTGTACAATGAGTACCTACCAAAATTATTTAAACATGCTTTAAGCAGTTAGCAAAAATAAAAACTGAGATTCACTATATACTTTTTGCAGTTTTTTACTTATTTGAAATGTAAAACATTATAATAATTTAGAATAAAGCAATAGTATGAATCAAAGTATGTGCAGAATGGGCAGAAATAAAATGCAGTTTTAGCAATATTTCACAACTTTATTCAATGGATTACCCCACATTGGCTGCATTCTGAATGACCCAGATTCAATCCCCATACTATAAGCATAAAAGTCCCTGCAGTACATGTACTGTATATGGTATTTGTGATGCCCCACAATTAAATACAATATATTAAAATGATTCTATTAAAATAATTCTTAAAAATTCAACTTTTGGTTTGTTGTTCTTACATAAATTCTTAAAGATTTTGAAGCAAGAATGTTGAAATTTGAATTTTTCTCCCCATTTTTAATGGTAGATGGCCATGATTTTAGGATTCTTGAGGGAGATCTCTGGCAAAATCTTTTCACTATTTGTCTATTTTGCAATATTTCAGCCATTTTATATAATTTCATAATTAATTAATTGATTGATATTGGGGCATCTGCAAGCATATGTGATGCTTCCTGGACCTGAAACCATTGTAACTCTGTAGGAATCTAGCCTAGCACCTTTAGTTTAGCTGAGTCTGGAAGCAATCAATAGCAAACATCTCTGCCAGTATTCCTAGCCAACTGCATTAAATCACAATTAGTATTATTATCCAATGCATAATAGATAAATAGATTAATCCAAAATTGGGAACCCTCACATGGTTAACTAAAACTGTAAAGAAGTTTAATTTAATAAGTATCATGCTCATACCCAATTCATAATCGCATTTGGCTTCCATTCTTAATGGGAGTGGATTTTGAAACCTGGATAACTCAGTCCATTGTTTATTTAGAATTAAATGTGAACCAAGGGCTTGATTTATTTGTTTCTGGAAAAACAGAATCAGAAGCTAAGAGAAAAACATAGTTTTAGACCCTAGCTTGTAAGAGAAGAACAAATCAGAGATTTTGATTTGCACACAATTCTAAACAAAACACAGAGTGATCTAGGCATATTTGAGCACTCAATTAAAGGTACAGCTAAGTGGAAGCAAGTAAAAGCCTGCATAGCATCTATCATATGGGTGATCAATCAAAGGGTTGTTTTTTTTTTACAATTCTGGTTCATTGCATTACATCAGGGGTCCCCAAACCTGGCAACTTTAAGATTTGTGGACTACAATTCTCAGAATTGTCCAACCAGCATAGCTGGCTGGAGAATTCTGGCAGTTGAAGTCCACAAGTCTTAAAGTTGCCAAGTTTGGAGACCTCTGCATTAAATGAATATGAGGCAACAAAAATTGGATCAAAGAGTAAGTATCTCAAGAACATATAAACGAAGAAGAAAATGTGTACTTAGCTTACATGTTTGGTCAGGTCTGGACTCTTGGAATCTACATCATAACTGCAGGGAAGAAGAAGCAGAGATCAAACACTGTATTTCAATCATGTAGAATCTTGGTATTTCTCTTTTGCAAAACCTACTCAACAGGGACAATGCACAATATCTATGAAGAAGGAAACAGAGTCAGGGTTGGACAGTAAGATTTTGATTCTTCTGCATGGGTTTCTGAGTTTAGCTTTTTGATGTTAAAGCAGCATCCTTTTTCTGTCCATTATTTTAAAATAGTGTTCTCCAATCATGTGTACACCTCATTTCCCATATCCACAATCCAAAAGATAATATTGCTGGATTATTATGCCAGCTGAAGTCTAATGCATCTGGAAAAAAGTAGATTAGGGGAAAATGGCAAATCAAATAAATGGAAACAAGAGTACAGCTGATGGTATATGACAAATATTGTAATATAGGTAGTCCTGGATTTACTACCAAAATGGAAGCCAAACATTCTGTTGCTAAGCAAGACAGTTGTTGTGAGTTTTGCTCCACTTTACAACTTTTCTTGCCACAATTGTTAAGTGAATCACTGAAGTTATTAAGTTAGTAACATGGATGTTGAGTGAATTTGGTTTCCCCATTGATAAGTCACTAATTTCAGTGTCGTTGTAACTTTGAACACTCATTAAACAAATGGTTGTAAGTTGAGGACTACCTGTATACATGTTAAGGAAGCTTCATTTTTCTAGTAGTATTTTATATTCATATGCACTACTCCTAATCCTTCACCCTAAAGCTGAAACAAATATTTTTCAAATAAATGTATGTTTTTTCTGAATGTCTTAACATCGAAACCTAAATTCATACTTGAATTTTGAAAAGTTAAACTGAAAAGTTGAATGCTGTAAGAACTGTTAATATCCCCCTGATTTATATTGATAAAGATTCTCAGTCATCCAAGTAGAGTCATAGCAACTGAACTCTTTTTTCCTTGTAGGTTTGAAATGTTTAGCTTATCCAGGCAGCTTCTTCAATCTGAGCATGTTGGTTAAGAGGATCTCAAATATGTCCTCCAGGGAGGTTTCATTTCTCACCTAATTTGGATAGGGTCTTGGGATATAAATGCTCCAACTCCTAAATCCTTTATCCTAGGTGGGCCATTAAGTGTGAATTCTCTCATGAACCTGTGAAGTGGTCCTGTTCCTCTTGGGGACTGATGAAAGAGATAAAAAATGAAGAACATTTTTCTGAGGCCTCCACTCCTGTCTCCTGATAGATGTTGAGAAATTCTGAGCTACCATTCTATATTAACAACAAATTATCTAGACACTTAATACTTTTCACTTAATACTTAATACTTTATCTTTTTAATTATCAAATGCTATTTATTATAAATACCATTATATGTGACTCATTTAACAAATATATTATGCCTATAGACTTCTAAATATTCCCTGGAGAACTCTGAGTCTGGGAAACTTTCAGAAGCTGAGCATTGGATATGTTCTGGGATGAATCTTTCTTTATTTAGACTGAGTAATGTAGCCAGCATTGTTTTATATGAAGTAGCTAGAACTGGGAATTTCCCTGAAGACTCGGAGCTCTTATGGGGACTAAGGTAGTAAACAGAATATTGAGAAATGTACTTTATAGAAACATTTCTGCAAATAATGATGAATGTGGTTAAATTTTTCAATATTATTACACAATAAATATTAACTATCATCTAGTATCATTCACACTAAGATAAAATATTATTAGATGGTAAAATAAGGGATAGTTATTTGTTCATTCCAAGCATGCAAGGAGAACAATTTGCCATAAAATTCTTTATCTTCTCTTTCAGCAATAGTTCACATATATTTACTAAGACTCAAACAATACCAAGGCATTTTTGCACAAGTTAGGAAGGCATCATTTGTAACAGTCCAAATCTGAGAAGTTAGCTGCAAGGTATATATTGTTTTTTCCCTTCCTATGTTGCTGAATACATGAATATAAAAATCCTTTTTTTGTATAGTTTTCTCCTCTTCTATTTATAACTAAACTTTTGAAGCTACTGTAAGTTTAATACTACAGAATGTATAAATTACTTCCTTTGTTAAAAGTGGATGCTACAATATTGGCAAATCTTTGGCCTATAGCAGGAGTGTCGAACTCATGTTGTCATGGCGGTGTCACATGACATATCAGGACTTTTCCCCCCTTCACTAAACCAGGCACGGGCATGGCCAGTGCGTGACGCATCCAGCCCCCGGCTATAAGGTATACAACCTTTGAGACCTCATCTGGAACAATCTGATTCCACTAAAGGATGCCAAGCAACAGACAATATTCAATAATTGTTGGATATAATAGATATACAATTGGATATATTGGATTTGATGACATTTGTTTCATTGAATGCCAAGGAAGTTTTTGATACGATATAGTCCTTGACTTACAACCATTTAGTGACTAAAGTTACAACGGCACTAAAAAAAGTGACCTATAGTCATTTTTCCCATTTATGACCATTGCAGCATCCTCATAGTCACATGATCAAAATTTGGATGCTTGGAAACTGGTTCATATTTATGACAGTTACATTGTCATGCGATCACCTTTTGTGACCCTCTGACAAGTAAAGTCAATGGGGAAGCCAGATTCACTTAACAACCGTGGCAAGAAAGCAGCAAAACTCACTTCAACAACTATCTTGCTTAGCAACAGAAATTTTGGGCTCGGTTGTAGTAGTAAACTGAGACTACCTGTTTTTGGTTTTCCTTTCAAATTTTAAAAATTGGAATAAAGTTGGTTCTCTAGCCCATTGCAAGGATTATCACAAGTGGAATTATTTCTTCACCTATTAGAATACTATGAGGAATTCATCAAGAGTGTTTCCTTTAATACTTCTACTTTACTTTTATTTAATGTGATGTTGGCACTATTGACCTCTATCTAAACATCTAAGAATATTTCAGGTATCAAATGAGTGGAGATGGAACATTGTGAAAGAAAGATCTGCATTGGGAATGAATAACAAACTCTTAGGGGAGAAGAAAAAAAATCACTTAAAACCAAGAAAGAGAAAAAGTGTGAGAAAGAAACTCAAAAGAAGTCCTAAACTACTGATATTATTAGAAATGTTCTCAAAATTGCTAAACCTGTAGTTAATTTATTTATAACTAAAATGATGTATTTAGATAAATATGGGCTTATTTGGAGACAATTTAGACTAATGAGTTGGACTATTCTGTCTTAAGAAATCAATGAGCTAGTATTTTACTGATTGTTAAATCAGTATGCAATAATTGGATAATAAAACAGCAGAATATTTCCTATGGCTAGTAGAGGGTCCAAAGGATGTCTGGCAAGAGTTATGTTTCAATATCTGCATGAGGCAAGGGGAGCACCTCAGAAGAAAGTTAAGACACCTATATCTGGTTCTATTTTACACTGACATTATATAAGTTTAATGTCAGCGTAAAATAGACCCACATGTAAGTGTCTTAACTTTCTTCTGACATGCACCCTTTGCATCATGCAGATGTTGAAACATAACCCTATACTAATTATAATACAATATGGGGGGGGGGGAGATAAATTTTTGAAAGTAATGTATTATATTCACAAATTTTGGAACTTACTGAAAAGTGAAAACTCTGCCTTTAATGTGCATAGAATTATTGATGCCCTTGGAGCTCAGCATAAAGAAACCCCCTTTAGATCTCATCTCACATCACTGTTTTTCCCCCCAGTGCATCCCCTGTTAAGGCAAAGCACTTTCATATTCTTCACAGAATCTCACCAATTACAGGATAGAGCCAAATGGAGAAGTCCTATAGGTGCACACTGGTTTTCCCTTCACACGCTCACTCTTTAGAAGACCAAGAAAAATGTCACTCACAGATCAAAGCGCAAATTCTGCTTCTCTTCAAAAAAGTAATCGAGGATGAACTTCCGCACAAAGTCAGGGTTCAAGGTGTTGTCAATGACTTCTGTCCTGCCAAACTGAAAAGGGAAAGGGAACCAAATGAGTGCGACAAGTCTAGTAGCATTATGACCATTAGCATGAAGACTTGAAAATAAATAGTATTTTTATCACACTCCAAACTGATTCTGAGATGAAGGCTAGGCTGGATACATTTAAATAAGATCTACCATTAAATATCTTTGTTTTATGGTCTTACAAACATCATCAATTGCCTCCTTCCAGGCTTAAGAGCAGGAAATAATTCTTTCATCTCTTAGTCTCCAGAGTGGGTAACTTTCAGATGTGCTGACTTCAACTTCTAGCATGCTCAGAAATAGCCACACTGGCTGGTGAGAGGCTTCTTTCAGAGATCTGATAACTTACAAAGACAGTTCAGAAATTGGGCTGAGTGCCACGGTTTGCCTATTTCTGCTTCAGGACAAAGATTTTAGTCTTGGCAGGTGAAAAGAAACAACATCAACAGAAGAAAGAGGGTGCATGGAGGATTTGTTAACTTTCCCTCCTTATCAAAAACCATTTCCTTGAACAGCATGGTTCTTTTGCACTTTACATGCAATGGTCAAGATTGAGTTATTAAAGCTGGATATGCTAGCACTTTCTAGATATGCAGCACCGCAGATAATACCCATGAAGGTAGAAACAGGTAAAATATGCATCAATTAGCTCAGGAAAGAAACGAAAGACAACAAAGCAAAACAAGAAAATATTTAATTGATTGAGTTTCAGCCAAATTATTGTTTTTATAATATTTCAATTATCAAAAATCTGTGCCACCTCCGGCATGTCAGAATTTCCAAGCTCGGCAGTCAAAGTTGTTCGATTTGTTTCCAAAAAGCAAGAACTCTGCCAAGCCAGCAGGAACATTTGGAAGAAATGTTCCACATTTAGGTGAAAGCTAAAAGGAGATACCAGCTTTAAACTGATAACATCTAAAAAGCCATGAAAGAAAGCACTGCAGATGAAATAAAGAGAAAGTAGAAAACTGAGCAAAGAGCGGATAGTAATCATTCAAAAACATTCAGGACAGAACTTAAGCTTTAACCATGTGAATGAAAAGACAGCCTCTAATTCTGCTATTAAGTCCAATGTGTCCATCAGCCTGTAGTCACCTGAATTATGTTTAAGGATGACGCAAATGCTTACACAGAAAGGAAGATATTCACTCACGAATGGAGGCAAAAATACGTGTTCCAGGATAATGTTGCAGGATCCAATCTGGATCACCGGGACCAGAGAATTAGTTTTCTGAGGTTTTGGACTCAATGCTGGAGGCCATCCTCAGGGAATTTCTATTTCACCAGAATGCCAGAAGGGCACATTTTGGTGAGATAGAATCTCCCTGAGGATGGGCTCCAGCATGAGACTGAAAGCTCAGAAAACTAATTCTCTGGTCCCGGTGATCCAGATTGGATCCTGCAGAATATTTACTGGTAAAGAACACAAGATAAAAACTGATACTGCCTAACACTGCTTAGATGTAGTTTTATAAACTTTGTTGATGAAGAACGAGAAACTTGGGCTCAAGTCACCCTTAGCTGTGGTTACTGAGTGATATTGGGTTGATATGTGTTAGCCCAGTCTCTCAGTTTTGATGTAGTGGGGGGAAACGGGAGGCAGGACTTGTTATACTGAGTTCTTTAAGGGAAAGTAGGATATAATGTATAGCAAAATAAAAATAAACTGAGTAAAGACTTTTTGCTCCCTCTGCTTTCCAGTAGTTCTGATAATGCCAGCAAGAGGTTGGCATTTAAGATAATTTGCAGCTGGAGAGCAAATAGTGTTTCCAAGAACAGCTGATTCATGAACCAAACTGCTCCTGGGACAATGAATTAGTCAAATAAAGCCAGAATGTCAAAAACAATCATATACGGTAGTCCTACAACATTGTACTAAATGTCCAGGTTTCTAGACCAGATTTTAGCATTCCTGGTCAACATAAGTAGAAACTTCCTCAGGTTTAAGCAAGACAATATGTATATATATTGATGGGAAGTCTGCAAATCTAGCTTTTCCCTATGATGTGCAATGCTGTGAAATAAGAGGCAGACAAATAGTCCATAATTAATTGTGATGGTAAAGCATGTTGGTCTTTAGTCCATCATATTCCAGCACAGGCTAGAATCCTCTCTACTTTACTTGTATAATTTATGCTGGCAGATGCCTCAGTAATAGGAGTACAGCAGCACTGATCTTTTATGACCGTTTCAAGAGCAAAGGAAAGGAAGTAAAATCAACGGGAACAAGAGCAAGATATAAATATGTTAAGAAAATATACCAGGCATACTATTTACACATGTGGCCTGGGTTATTTATTATGTGCTGTAAAAACGTTATCCTGTCAGTTTCCTTCAAAGAAAAAATTGCCTGCATGTTGTAGAATGAACTTTCCTGCTATGCCCAGACACAGTTTGCAATACAAGGGTTATCAGTGCTGAAAATATTACATGGTGTCAACATGCTCACCAACAACTTACTTGATTCCCCTTCACCTGATTTGTGCATTTCAAAAAACATTTGCGGATGTGTTTGTACTTTATATTAGAATGGTATTCCTTAAGCTGATGTTTCTCAGACTTGTTAACTTTTAAGATGTGATTTCAACTTCTAGAATTTCCCAGCCAGGCTGAGAGTTGGATGTTGACTCGAGAATACCTAGATAGCATTTTCTTGGGGAAGGTGGGTCAAACACAACTTTCTTACATTATTACAAATTTAACCTTAACCCTAATAAAGCTGAAAGAGAGGTTGGTATTCCAATATGTGAACACAAGAGAGCTAATAATAGGGGTATATAGTGGGGTACCCAAGTTTTGGAACAATTCTCCCACATAGGTATATTTGCTAGAATGATTCTATTTTTAAGTTCTTTTGTGTAATTCAGGCAATTTAAGCCTTCATATTTTTAAAAGAGATACATTTAATGTTGTGATTGTTATGAGCTTTGATTTTTATTATATTTCATATAGCTTTTATTTTTTCTAAAATAGATTTTATTCAAATATTTTACATACGTAAGTACCTTTTTAAAAAAAGATGTTGTAAATGTGAAAGAGAAAAAAGAAAAGAAAGGTAAAAAGAGAAGGTGCTGAATATGCTCTAATAAAGTAGTTCAAAATTGATACCCACAGGGCTCCTGAGAGGGGTGAGTGGCTGCAATAGGTCCCAATAGATCCCAAGAACAATATCAGAGCCCTCTGTCTTTCTCGCATTCTCCTTCACCATTTTGTTTATCAAAGAATCCATGTTTATTCAAAATATTTACACTTTGTTGATTGAAGAAGTAGCTAAACACAATATATAATTAAAACTAATTTCCATAGAGTTGGTGTGCTTGCCACGTAGAGATGCTGAACTTCATTACAGTAACTGAGTCACTTTCAGTATGCATCTGTTAGCAGGAAAACACAGAGCTTAAAATAATAATAATAATAATATGGGATGTTTTTAGCAAATCCCCCAAAGGATCGTGTTGCTATGGGCTGAGCATCTGTTATTTTTGGGAAGGCAGAGGCACCGTATGTTGGTCTGAGGCTAATTTCTGCAGTTTTTAAGCTCGATGCTAGCCGGCATCCTACTTGGGGCAGGTGACTGGATCTAATCTTGAACTCAGTGGTGGGATTCCAAATTTTTTACTACCGGTTCTGTGGGCGTGGCTTGGTGAGCGTGGCAGGGGAAGGATACTGTAAAATCTCCATTCCCATCCCACTCCTGGGGGAAGGTTACTGCAAAATCCAATCCCTCCCCACCCCACTAACCTGCTCTCCAGCTGCGTTCTCCTGTGCAGGGCAACAAAAGAAGACCCAGCCAATCAGCTGGGACTCATAAGGCAGAGAATAGATGGGGGCAGGGCCAGTCAGAAGTGGTATTTGCCAGTTCTCTGAACTTCTCAAAATTTCCACTACCGGTTCTCCAGAACTGGTCAAAACCTGCTGAATACCACTCCTGCTTGAACTGCAACATGGTTCACTACCCAGTTACAATATCTATGACTGCAGTGAAAATAAAAACACCCTTGAGTCAAGTTTAATTCCTAATGGCTTCACAAATCTAACCATGTATTTTTCTTAGCAGCAATGGGTTTCTACCGCCAATGCTTTTTCCACAGATTTGGGGTTGGTGGGGAAAGGGTGCCTCCTCTATTTTGCCTACAGATCAATTTTGCTTAGGATTCCCAGGTGCTCTCCTTTCTGAGTCCTAATAGACTTGACCCCCTTTAGTTCCTGAGCAGAGACTAAGTTGGCTACATGCTGCTATCTGTGGAGGAAAACAAAGTAAATTGATTCCCCCAGAGGGTTAATATTTGAACCTTCTTACTTCTTCAGAAAAGGTTAAACCTGTCAGTGTGGCATTCACTTTCCACCAACATCCTATTCTATTAAGATGAGAAGAGATGAATTGAGATTATCTGTGACTTCTATAAATGCCACTGATAGAGCCTCAGAATTGTCCTCAGAGTGAACCTTTTCATATCTACATGTATCTAGTTACTCGTATAAGCCAGCCTTGCCCAACCTGAACCCTCCAGATGATTAGAATCAGAAGTCTCTGCCGATCTGGTCCATGGAATTCAGGAATTGTGGAAACTGTAGAGATAACCAGATCTAGGAAGACTCCATTGTAGCCTAAGCTTAGCAAGAACCAAGCATTAAATGCAAATTTAAGGAAATAGTAAAACATGATCCCTTAAACACAAATTCCCCCCCGCCTCTTCTTCACCAAAGTATTTTCCAGAATCTTTCCAGGGAAGGAAAGGTTTCAATTTCCCCCATCACAATTGCTTTGACAGTCCCTCCTACCCACCAACTGCTATTTGCAATTTTAAAAATATCCACCTTCAATACAGACACATTTAGTTTAACTTTTATTAAGAGGTAACAAATGATCAGCTGGGTTCAGTTCATACGAGGAAAGGACTCTCCCCCCCTCTCTGACTTTATATGAAAAACAAGTACAAATATCCTTCACTCTTCTGACAATGGAGATATTTATGTTTAGCCATCTGGTTAGACTAAGAGCA